TGGGGGGTGAGGGGAAAGGGCGGCTGTGTCAAACATAGGCTGCAACCTGCTGAAGCCGAAACCTTGGTCGATTGATGTGGAGGAAAACAATGGGCGAGTCCACTTTCTTGAATGCGCCTGTGCAGAGCTCAGGTGGACGAATCTGTTCGATTTCCGCAAGTGGGTGGCAAACAAGTCAATCAAGGGATGGCAATCCCAGATGGGCTAGCGAAGAGGTGGTGATCCTAATCGTGGAAGCGAAAACAAAAGGAAAGCCCTTGACAAAGGGTAAAGGGCGGTCCCCCGGTCCAAGCATGTCCTCCCCAAAGTGAGTCCTGCCCAAGGCTGTCACAAGATCAGGGTCCAAGCAACCAATTACAATCTGGGAAAACCCAAAAAATGGACATGCCCATCAATAAAAGGGATCTTCGCGTAGTTTCTTCCGAAGTCTGAAAGTTTCGAAGCCCGGCTCATTGAACTCGCCGATCCTCCCACCCCGACCCACCTCGCTCAAGAGGCTAAAATAGCCTGGCAGAGACGGCACAAATTGCATACCTCGCTCTCTCTCTCTCTCTCTCTCTCTTTCTCTCTCTCTGTCTCTCTCTATGATGCTGAGCTCTTTTGATGTTCGAATGTTGTCTGAGTCTCGTGAACATCATTCAGGCTTGGCATGTTGTCTCAGTGTCCAATTGCAGCCTCAAAGCTTCAAGATCCAGAAACCGTCAAGCATGCTCGTCGTACCCTTCTGCAAGGAAACAAGCCTTCCCCAAGGGCCTGTGCACGTCCTTTGCTGTGGGAGGATGCTTCAAGTTGTCAGCCAAGTTACCAAGGAATCCCCAAGTTCGGGACCTTCATGGGAAAGCTTGTTTGACCCCCACTGCGCTTGTGATATCATTTGTGCAAATAAGGTTTCTGTTTGGAAACTTGGAAACTTCACAGGCAATTCCGGCTCACCTGGTTTGTTTAAGCCGGAGGAAACTCCTTGTAATCATGTATGCGAGAAGCCGGTTCACGCCCTGCCAAAACTTGTTGCTGGCAAGGCTTTGCTGGTTCAAAGGGAAACCCACCAAAATAGCACGGAAGAAGGACGCACTTGGATTTTCAACATGTCAGGAAGCTCACGGTATGCTCCGCAACAGTCTGCTGCGCACCGTGCCTGGAACTGGACTTTCCCGAATCATCCAGCGCTGATTGATGCTGCCATGGGTGTCCTCCCACAGGGTCTTATGTTGTTGGATTAATCTGGGGATCCCTTTCTATAGCAATTCTGACATGACGGCGCAATTTCTGGGGTGGACCAGCACATGCCATCTGGGCAAAATCATAATATTGCAGCCTGAAGTCAGGGGCCGGGTCCCAACAAAAAAAAATCCACGGCAAATCGGCCGCTTATCCCGTGCCCCATCCCGGCCAGGGAATGCTCTTGTGCGCCTACCCTCCCGTGCTCATCCCTCCCCACGTTCTTGAGGCTCTTCCTAGGCATTCTAAGCTGCTTTGTCACCGGCTCCAAGTGGCAATGTCTTGTTGACTTTCTCTCAGAATCTATTTGGAGTCATCAAAGATAAAAGCCCTTTGGAGAACCCATTCACCAGTTCGAAATCTGCACAACCTTCTGTGAGAGATTTCTGCAGAGGCACTGTACTGGGTACACTGTACCGCAGCTTGAACAAAAGGACACTTCATGGGATGTGTTAACCCCCATTTTGGACTGGCTATGCAAGAGCCGGGCTCTCTAAATGTTGTAAGTATGCCACACTGCAAACCAACCGACAATCCTGGCGTTTGCCTTACCAGTTGCACGGTATCCCAACGATCAGAACTGGGAGAAAAAGTCACAAGACGCCCGACCCAAAAAAAATACAAGTGAAACGTCGAAAAGGCCCTCTCAGGTTTTCACTTGCCAGCAGCCTGAGATCCATGCCGCAGCTCGGGCCCCGAGCATTCATCCAGCTCATGATGAGCTTCGTGAAAGTGCGCTTCATCACGGCCTGGCTCTGAAAGGCTTCGAAGATGGGAAGCTCGGCCATCCAAACAACGAATAGTTACTGCAAAAAGTCAAATGCTTCCAAGAACCCATCCACCTCTTGCCAAGTGGTTGTCACAGAGTGAAAATACGTGCTCTTTACACATCTTTCAGGATGGATGGCCTGGCTCAAGGTTGGACAGACGAATCCGCTCACCCATTCCTTCCTGCCTGCTCACCATCACGCAGGCGGCAGGAGAAGACGGCCCCAGCGCAGCCCTTCGGCATGCGAAAGGGTGAATACCGCCACACGTTTCAAAACCGACTGATCTATCAAAAAAGAGGCTGGGCACTTTCCCGGGCCGGTAAAGGTGTCCCTGTGAGTCTTCAACACATTCCCACCTGCTTTCTGATCATGGTAACACCCTCTGAAGCCTCGTATAGACAAACTTCAAATGACTGAAACCTGCAAGTGGTTTCTAACCCTTTGAAGCAGTACCTGCCATAGAACAAGGCAACGTTAAGGCTCGCCCTGGGGGCCTCTTTCGTCTGAGATGGACAGAGAATGGCCCCGCATGAGTGTTTCTCAAAGCAGGAATAGCCCCAGAATCGTCATTTCCCTTTAAAGCCAGAAGAAAAAAAAGTCATATCCAGCGCGAAAGTGAGTGAGTCCCCCCTGTATGCCTTCCCGCATTCGTTCCATTCGACCAAATAGGCAATGGGAACTTGAAAACTTCCTTAAGGGACAAACCAGAAACCCCATCCACATGATTGGCCTAGCTGTAAAACGTCTCAAAGATGGCCCAATCTTGACGCATCCCATATTTGGATCTCAAAAGAAGCCAACATGATTCACCAGCCGTTGCGGACGATTCCGACTGGTACATGCACATACATTGGTACCTTTTGGGCGAATTTCAACATCATCCCTTGCTCAGCTTTCGTCGTGGTACGTTCCCTAACCCTTTGGCTGTGTGCTTGGTGAGTTTCCTTTCGGGTTTGGCTGTGTGTCCACATAGGGTGGAACTCAAAATGGTGGTTTCACTTCCAACCCAGAAAACCCTCAAAACCCACGTCGGCCCATTTGTGCTGGACCGGGTCCCCCGAAAAGCGCTACGGGAGCCGCTCCTTTGCCAGCGACCGCACGGAGCCAGGGAGCACTACCTCCTGCACAGGCGCTTCAGGCCGGACGCGTTGTGCATTTTGTGTCAGCTCATCAAACCTTCAACATTCAGATACTCGCCCAATGGAAGCCAAAAGTCCTAAGCACAATGAAAGTTAGCTCCGAGGTGTGCTTGGAAAATATTGGAACCGCTTCGAGTCGCCAAGACACACAAAGTCACCCAATCAGGGTGAATTTCCCATGCTCAGCACTGTCCAAAACATCGAAGTTGGTGGCTTGGATTTGACTTCCACCACTGCCAACACTACCAGCACTGTTTCCATTGTTTCCACTGCCACCGTAAGACAATATTCCTCTGGAATGGCCTTCTGTCACCTTCATTTACAGTCAAAACTCCGCTGTGTGTGAGGTGGGCGCGGGCGTAGTTTAAACGCCTAGCGAACCACAGCGCCTTTGTCTTTTGACCGTGTGTCACAAATTGCCAACAGTAGACAGGGGCCCTTTTGTTGTGTGTGTGTATGTGACTTTAAGGTGATGGGTTTCTGGAAAGGGGTGCAAGAAGGCGGTGACAACTTTGACCTGCATCTCACCGCCCGAAGGGGCCCCTTCTGCCCATCCTCAACGGAACTTGCCAAGTAGGGCTGCAGAAGCTGCCACTCGCCTCAGGATTGGGAACTGACACCCTCCTTATGGGCCCCGGTTCTTCGCGAAAGAAAGCTGTCACCAGACAAGGGCGCCTAAGTTGGCAACTCGCAACTTGACGCAGAAATCCTGAGTGTTCCTATGGGTTGTGGGCTCCTGGACCTTTGGACCACTTGGATTTGGAAAGCCGAGACATGGGCCACACGCCGGGTCAGCCGGCACCGGCACCGGAGCCGGCGCCTCGGCCTCCGACACCTGCGGCGGCGTGTCAGAAACACTCAAACACGCACGTCAGGTTCCCAAACGATTTTCTTTACTTAAATTATTACCCATCGATTGGCCAACGCACTTTACTTAAATGATCTGAAAGGAGAGCCGAGCCTGTTCCACTTGTGCATCATTACGTTCGGCAGCAAGCGGGCAAGCAAAATCGAATCCCCAGCAACGCACCTCCACAACTGCCTCCGGCACCTCCACTGGCTCCGGGACGGGGGCCACAGCTTCCATCGCGCGTACAAGCAACCGTTTGACTTGCGTCCGGCTAGCACAGGGTCTGGAGTGAGCTGAATTGCTTGGTGGGCAAACGTTTGTTGCAGAATGCTGTTCGGAAGACTTTAGGCTAAGCAGCTTCTTTTCTTCTCGAGAGCGCAGGCCGCACGAAGCAAATGAGTGCGTGATGCTCAGGCTGAACATTTGAGGCACGGGGTCAGTCGGAAGTCGCTTAGCTGAGATAGGGTCAAGATGAATATGGCTTCTACTGTTTCAGTGTGGCACCCAGATCGGGGTAACTCATTGAGCCCTTTCGGCTGCTAAAGATGGACCTTTGCTTGAACGAGGAGGAACCGGGTCCGTGGTCAGCAGCCTTCGAAGCCCAAACTGGCAGACAACATGATAAACACAATACCTTTGAAAGAAATCAAAGCTACATGCCGCCTTTATCAAACCTGTCTCTTTGCAACAAAAAGCTCCCCGCACGGCGAGCCTACTGGCTGCTCTTGAAAAAGCACAAACTCCCGGTGTTGGCATTCCGGCCGGAGATCGGATCCCAAACACGTCGGATTGCACGTCGAGAGCCGTGGAACTGCTCCTCTCTCTCTCTCTCCCTCTCTCTCTCTCTCCACTCCAGCTTCTTTTAAAGCCCTTGCTCAACTAGCCTCTTCTCAAGGGGGATTCCCGCTGAAGGCCACTAAATCGAAAAATACGCTGGAAGGCCTCGAGAACCGTATGCCGAACTTCCCAAGGGTATGCCCATCACTTCCTGGGCACCCACCGCCTTTTGCCCCCCGGCCGCACGTAAGGCGCTCCGCCTCGGTGCTCCGCAGGTAGTGGTGCGGCAGGTCCTTGGCCTAACTAACTCGAAGCAAACCCCTTCGAGTCGGAAGTGAAGGAAGTGAAGGAAACCAGCCATTTTTGGCCCAAAAGAGAACTGTGTCAAAGGGATTTGGACGGAAAACTGTCGTTCCATTTGGTTCCCACAAAAGACACCAGCCCCAACAAGTGTCTGGTGTGGGTGTGTGTGTGTGTGTGTGTCCCCAATTCCTTGTACATGGTCAAGGCTCCCAAAATGTGGGCCCATGGACATTGCTCCCACAGACCCATGGTTGTTTCTATATCCCCGATTCAGGGCTGATGACCAATAAGCGAGGTCCAATTAATTACAATGAGGTTGCGGACGGTAAGGCCGAATTCGGTCAAGAATCAAATGTTGAACTGGCTAGCTCCTTGTATTATTGGCATGTGCTGGATGCCATACTGAATGCTGTGTGTGTGTGTGTACATATGTACCCGTGTATGTATACGTAGATACATATATGTATACATATGTCACTATGTCCGCTTGTGGCTACACACATAAAAACCCGCGGTTAAGTACACTATCCAAATGCATTGTTGAGTGACCACCTGTTCCAAGTTGGGACCCCATGTAAGAAGATTGTGTTGGAGCAGAAACGGGAACATATCCTTTGCCCGCATTCTGTGAATCCCTCCTATTCGCCGGGGACTGTCCCCAAGAAGAAGAAACCCAAAACAAGCCGGTGCGCCTACGCTTTCTTGTAGCTACTTTTCGAACCAAAGAACTCCGACTCGTGACTCGCGACTCGCCTGGCCATTGGAGCGGTACTCCTCCAAGGCCTCTGCCACGAAGTGCAGCACCTGACACGTGCAAAAAACACTGCGACACTTTTCTGCAAGTCTGCATTCGTCCAAAGTAAACACTGCCTTTGCTTGCTGGATTTCTTGCCCGCGTGCGTGCGTGCTGGTTTGCTTGCGGGGGCTATTTTTGGGTTGGCCCCCACAACTGCCAGGGGATGACGGATCTTCAGACCAAAGCACCATTCAATTGCTTTCCAAAAAGGGTTCCGAACACCTCTTTTAGCAATGCCCCACCCAGATGTTGCCTCTCAGACGCACGTTCAGGGTCCCTACCAAACCGCAACCCTGGCGTGTTGACAACGGACAGGGTATGTGTCAACATGAGGATTTGGATGCACAAATCCCCCTATTGTAGGTGGTTTTCCTTTGGGGTTCCCCCTTCAACCAACCTGAAAAGAGCAACATACCCAAGTCTGATCTCGTCGCCGGACCTCGGAGATGTTGTGGACCATCTCCTTGTCGTAGGGCAGGAGCTCTGGGGCGTACCTTGACAGGGGCCGTTGCTTCCATGTTTCCTTTTTGTTTTTCTTTTGGGGGGAGGGGAGAAAGGCAAGTGCTGGTTGCCCTCTGGAGTGCGAAGTTTGAGGGAGTACCCTCCCTCCGTTGCCATGGAACCTGGCCTGGGGGTACTAAAAGTCCATTTTCTCTCAAAGAGGCTCGGGTAGGTTCCATATTAGCTGGGGGAAGGGTGGTAACTACATTGAAACCAGTTCCTCTTCCAATGGGGCGACAAAAAAGCAGTGTTCACGCTCTTATCCTACACTCACATGTGTTGAATTCCAAGCGGCAATCTTAGAAGTTGTGTGCCCTAGTTGGGGCCTCGAAATTGGAACCTCCTAAGTGGCCACTGTGTAAGCATGCGCGCCTGAGAGCTCATAAGCATGCAGCACGGGCAAGCCAGCAAACAAGCAAGCAGGACGGCAGGAGAAAAAAAGGGAAGCAGGGCAGGAAAGAGCAAGGAAGAACAGGAAAACAAGCAGGAGCAAAAGAAGCATAGCAGCTGGCAGCATAGCGGCAGATAGGACTAAAAATACACTATGGCAAAAGGGCCTGGAGGGCGGCCTCGCGTTCTGCTTGCGAAACACTTGCGCGGAACTTGCAGAGAATCTTACAAGTCAAAACGGCAAAAATGATGCTTCGAGCCACCAAACTCATCGGGATGCAGATCCGACTTGAGCGAATCTTGTGAACACTGCAGTGTTGACTTGCGTGGCCGAAAGCGGCGGCCTACTTACGCGAAGACTAACCGAAACCCTGGGATAGTAAAGTATGCCCCGGTTCTTTTAACTCAAATACTCGGAACACTCTCATCGTCTCCACAAATCACCCTCTGTTCAGCACCGATTGCACAATCCAAATCCCCTTGATGTTTGGTTCTAAAGGGGGGTTGTATAATTTATGCAGACCCGCATATCCATGGGGGAGCAGAACCCTCACCCCACGCCTGGCTGCTGGCAGGCGCACTTTTCGTTGCGATGCCGGCGGATGAGCCTGTCCACTTCCTAGCGCGCTCGAGCTTGGAGCGAAGCTTCGAATTTTGCCATAAACCACCAGGCGAGTGAAGGTATTCAAAAAGAGAAGCGTCGTCCCCTTTGATTGATGAGGTGTGTATCTTTAGGAGCTGATGCCCTTTTGGAGAGTGGTCAAGGAATTTCTGCTCTCAGAAAGCGAGAACCACCCAACCGGCCACTGAAACGGTCGGCCGCGGCTTACTAGCATTGAATTGGGAGTCAAAACGGGCACCATGCAAGAAGGTTCAAAAAGAAACATGCTATGCCACACCACAAAAACACAATTTTGGCTCCTCTTGTGCCTGCAATCACTCTGCCCGTCCTCCTTGAAGCTTTCCTCCTCGTCCACTTCCTCTTCCTGCGTAAACGTTCTGGCCCAGCCATCTAGTTTTCCCTGGCTCCAAAAACAAATGCGTGTGTTCAAAATCTGGACTTGTGCTTTCCCCTCTTTTGACAAGGGCCTTTTTTGTAGGGCCCGCCTAAGAAAACAGATGCCCCAAACTCAGAAGCTAAAACATGGCGGACTGTGCCTGAGATGCCATCGGCTTGTCCCCCGGCCGATGGTACAGGCGCTGGCGTGGCCGTTGCACTGGCTGATTGATGTGCCCTTGCGCCGGTAGAAAATATGTTTGGCCCCGCCTTGCAGCCAAACAGCCGACAATCGAGCAAGGCACACATCACACGTGAGCGCCCTTTCAATTGAACCATCCACAACGGCGGATGGTTGTTCGACCCTTGCTGGGTTTGAAAACAAATGTGCGTGCATCCAATCGCCATGCATTTAACGCAAATCCTAAAAGGAGCTCTATGGTTTCTAGACTGCGCAATCCCACACGAATTCGTGCAAAGCACAACTTCGAACCGGGTTGACTTTCACCGGAAGCTGCATCTTTGTGAAGAAAAACAGTTGCGGCTACTTGATTTTAAATGAGCATCCTAGGGCAAAGTAAACAACAGAGCGAATGTTAACCCCTGATTAATCACACTGACTGCCACGCCAACTCCCACCGAAAACAACGCTCATCCATTTCTGGCACGCAGAGCGCAGCGAACTTGCAGCACGGCGCCTTACCTGGCGTGACAAAGCAGTTTCATCACAATCAAAACGGGCCTCATCCGTCATCCGACACCTTTGCACTCAGAATTGCCTAACCTTGCCCGAATGTTGTTTGCACACAACGAGCAAACACCAACCCAGGCTCAGCCTCCTGACACACATAGGCGGCGATGTCCCAAACGTGCGACAGACTGAGTATGAAGTGGTCAGTGTCGGCCAACAGCTGGTCCATCTCAGGAACCGTGGCCTCTTGCGCCATTTCGTTTCTGAGGCGAAAAATGGTGTTGTGGCATCGAAGGGAAAGGCACGAAGGGCGACTCTAAGCGCACCTGTAGAGTCTCCAGCCGGATGCGAGGAGCAACAGCTGGGACCAAGGACGGGTAAAAGTCTGGGACTTGGGCAACGCACTACAATGCCCCTCACGTCGACCCTGGCGAAGTCCAGGCAAGGGAGTGGCCTGGCAGGGGCTTGGCTTGCAGTTGTTTGCCCGCTGCATTTAGCCAGGCTTTTCCGATTTCAGCGCACGCCCTCGGCTTTGTGTGGGTTTGAAGCGGGGTTGCAGGTTAGGTTCGGCTCGGTTGCGGCTTTGAGTGGGCGTAGAATGCGTCGGGCAAGCTTTGAGGTGGGTAAGGATGGGAGGTAGGGTTCGCTTGGGTGCTCTCATCACGGACCGTCGAACGGGCGGCGGGCGAAGTTGCGCAGTAACCGGTAAAGAGATGATTCGTTAGCCACTTCTACCTGGACGACTTCGTGCAGTCCAGTGAGGACCCGAACCCTCGGCCTCTGCAGCACACGCCCCTGCAGGCAATTCCCGAGGACGGCTTCCGCACTCCCGCAAAGGCCACGGACGAGGACGTGCGGCTGGCCCGGATCTACCGGGGCGGGGGAAACCGCATCGTCGAGGACGACCTGGCCGGAGACCCCCCTGGCAACCACACTCAGGCACACATGCACACACATGCCCACACACACACACACACACACGCACGCACGCATACACGCACACACGTGCGCATGCGCGCACGCGCGCACGCCCACACACACACACACACACACGCACGCACGCACGCACGCACGCACGCACGCACGCACGCACGCACGCACGCACGCACGCACGCACGCACGCACGCACGCACGCACGCACGCACGCACGCACGCACGCACGCACGCACGCACGCACGCACGCACGCACGCACACACGCACACGCGCACACGCACGCACGCACACACACACACACACACACACACACACACACACACACACACACACACACACACACACACACACACACACACACACACACACACACACACACACACACACACACACACACACACACACACACACACACACACACACACACACATCGACGCCGCGCACCTCCAGGCCCGGGCGCCGGGCGGCAAGGTAGTACTCTAGCTTTCCGGAACCGAAGAAGGGCGAGTGCAGCACCGATATGTCGCCCAGCAGCCGGTCCAGCCGTGGAGCGAGCCACGATTTGCTTCCCATGTACTTCAGACGCATGCCTGCCTTTAGGTTTATCCCAGAAAACTCTAGGAGTGATGCCGTAAATATAGCATTTCTCCCGGACTCGCCGCCCGGCTTCCCGGCTTCGAATTTAGGAAGTAACGCAAAAGGACGAATGGGGAAGATCAAGCTTTTTCCTACGACGGAGTACACCAGTAAGCAGCCCTCGGACCCCGTGGTGCCCCAGGTTCCGTGCACCGGCATCTTCCTCGGGCCTTCCAAATCGGGCAAGACCGTGCGCTGATCAGCATGATTCTGGAGCAGTATCGTGGCGTCTTTGAGAAAATCTACATCTTCAGACGACGGCTGGATCCCCGTCAAGTACATCGAGCAAGACCTGGGAGTGAACACGGAGAGAGAGCAGGCCTACTACGACGAGTGGGACAAGGCGGCGCTGCGGAGCATCATCCAGAGGCAGCGCAAGATCACCAAGACGTCCAAGAAGTTGGAGATGAAGAAACTGTACCAGGCGCTGATTATCCTGGGCGACTACCGCAGCTCCACAAGCCTCACGGCGCCCTTGACACGCTCTTCATCCGAGGCCATGCAACAGCACCTGGGTGAGCTCCCAGAAGCTGAGCGGTCAATCAGCAATTCCTCTGCTGCTGGAGGCTGCGCAACCAGCACGAGCTGGACGCCGTCATCGAAGAGCTGCGCGCCCTGCTGAAGGACAAGCTGCACAGAAGGTAGAAGCAGGCGACCCGGGAACCCTCTAGTTTCCTCTTCGTGTACCTAAAACCGAAGAACGAAATGTTCTACTTCGAAGAGCGTTTTGTAATTGAGAAAGACTCCGATGGGAGCGGCACTCAGCTTCCGGCCAGAAGCTGTTCGCCAGCTCCACTCTGATCCACTTCCGTCGCAGCCGTCCAGCCCCCCTCATTCGTCGAACGTGGGCTTCCTAAAACGCGGTGGACTTCCAGTGTGGACCACGTGCTCAAGCTTCGTCTCCAGCGGGCAGCAGGTCTAGTTTGTGGATGATGGCTCCACCTGCGCTGCGCCCAGCTGGGCAATCTGGGTCCAAGGTCACGCTGAAGAGCGGCGTGGGCACCATCGTGGAGACAGGCTCCGACGATGGGCACTTCATGCGATCACGTCTAATCCCCCAAAGGTCTTTTAAAAAAATGAAAACCCGACGCGCAACCGGCGGCCAAGAGGCATACTATCCCAAGAGGCGAGGGCCCCAGATACCCTTTTCCAAGGCAGCACCCATGCCCAAGGCAGCACCCAAGGCAGCGCTCACGGTTTTAAACGAAACTAGAACTGCGAGTTCTAACGTGAGTTCAAGGGCTAGAAACCAAATGGCGGCGGCGTAGAAGATTCACCCCAGACCTACAAAACACAAGGGAAAAGAAAACCCTTAGCTCCTAGCCTTAAACCACAAAGAACCCAGAACCAAAAGCCGACAGCAAGGCGCGCACCTTTTTACCGGGTTGCTTGGCCGTGCAGTGCCTGACACGCGGCCAAGGCTGCAATCTTAGCGGGGGAAAACTCAAGAGCGCGGCTTAAGAATGTATGGCTGAGGTCATGGCCAGTGCGTTGAAAAGCTCCGGAGAACAGCTTAAGGCGGATGTTTGAAAAGTCACCTAACTGGGCGGTCAGTTGTGGCATTCAAAAGGCAATTGGCAAACAAAGGCAGGCTGCAAATGGCAAAGTCTAAGTGCCGTCCCCAACACTAAAGGTGCAACGGCGGTGGCGTAGCTTTTGTACTAAGGCTGGACTCAACCTGAAAAGTAGTTGGCGCAAATAGTGTTCATGAAAAAGCAGAAAAGGCTTGGCTGTCCCACAGGCTCTCTCTTTAGAGGGGGTTTCCCAAATGGATTCTATTCCACCTGGTAGGCTCCTGGCACTCGTCCGTCCAGGAAACGACCTCGTCCTGCGAAGGATTCGATACCTAAAACGCTGCGCGCAGGCGTGTGGCTGCAACATAACGACCCCAAGATATGCGCCGCAATTTGGCTCCAGGTTGCATTTCAAGCGAGCCAACCTTTGCAGGGCTAAGAAAAAAACAAAACAAAAAAAGAAAAAAGGGGTCCCCAAAAAAGGGGTCCCGAAAAAAAGGGAAAAGGGGTTTCCTTTGGCAAAGCTTGGCCTCGCTTGAAATGCAACCTGGAGCCAAATTGCGGCGCATATCTTGGGGTCGTTATGTTGCAGCCACACGCCTGCGCGCAGCGTTTTAGGTTTCGAATCCTTCGGAGGACGAGGTTGTTTCCTGGACGGACGAGTGCCAGGAGCCTACCAGGTGGAATAGAATCCATTTGGGAAACCCTCTAAAGAGAGAGCTTGGTCTGCTCTGCAAAGAAGTGTACTCTCCAAAAAGGTGTGCTCTGCAAAGAAGAGTGCTCTGCAAAGAAGCGCAAGTGTGCTCTGCAAAGAAGTGTGCTCTGCAAAGAAGCGCAAGTGTGCTCTGCAAAGAAGTGTGCTCTGCAAAGAAGAGTGCTCTGCAAAGAAGAGTGCTCTGCAAAGAAGTGTGCTCTGCAAAGAAGCGCAAGTGTGCTCTGCAAAGAAGTGTCTGGCGGCCATGTCGAAGTCCCTGCGCACGTCGCAGCTGGGGTCGTAGACCTTGCGCTGCTCCTCGTCAACCTCCAGCAGGACGTAGCCCCACGGCATTGGCAGAGCAAACTCCGCGAAGGCGTGCGCCGTCTCCGACTCCAACCCGCAGCCGCGGAAGGGCAGGCAGTGCTGATCTGCTCGTCGCGGAGTGCTTGGTGCACCTCAAGCTCCTTACTCTTGGTCACTGCGCGCGGGTTGTCGCCGTGCATCGTCTGCGTGTGTCGCAGCAAGCTCGGCGCTCCGGCGAATGGGAGATCTTGCCGAGGACAGCCGCAGCACCCAAGGCAGCGCCCAAGGCAGCGCCCGTGCCCAAAGCAGCACCCAAGGCAGCACCCACGGCAGCACCCAAGCCAGCTGCCATGCCCAAGGCTGCACCCAAGGCAACGCCCAAGCCCAAGGCAGCGCCCAAGACAGAGCCCGAGGCGCAGCTAGAGGTACAGCCCGAGCCCGAGGTACAGCCCGAGCCCGAGGTACGGCCCGAGGTACACAGCGAGGTGCGG